TAATTTTGGCAGTGGAAGTTCCTAAAAATTTTGTGTAAGATATCTGTTGTTTTACCAAACTATATAAACTTTCAAAAATTTTTCAGCGTTATATTCGGCAACAGTCGTTAACAGTGGGTACCAACAGGGTACCAAACAGGAAGTGTTCAAGTAAAAAGGAAAAGAAACTAACATTTGCACAGGAAAGAAACTGTTGCTCAAATGGCAATTTCTAAATGTCAATTTCATCAGCCAGTTATTTTCTTCTTTGAGCTATCTTTTTTTTGTCAGAAGTAAAAATCTTGAAAAAAAATTTATTAGTTTCAAAAAAAAAAACTACGCAGAACTTTTTTTTAATTGAACGAATTGTAGCAATAAATCTATGAAAAATAATAAACCTTGTAAAAAATAAAAGAAAGATTGATGAGGTAGTTAAGAAATGGTTTAGTGTTGAATCCAAAGCGTACTGATGAATAATTGCTATTTTCTATATGTAAACTTTGTCGAAAATGGCCAAGATCAAGGAGATGTTTTAAAAGTGGAAAATAACCTTTTTTTTTGCCGATTTAAAAACGAAGGATAAATTTTGGAAAAAAAAATTAAATTTTTTGAGGAAAAAAATCATCAGAAAGATTTTTTTGAAAACATTTGATACATAACTTTTATTGTAAATTTGTATAACTCAGAAAATAACTGTTGTAAAGTTTCTGAAGCATTTATGAGGAAGCCTGTAAACCCACATAGTGGCTTTCAATTTTTTTAAACAATTGTCAAAACAATAAGTTTTATTAAAACTTAAAATTTGTTGTTTTTGCGAACGTTGTGTTCAGTAGGGTTTTTTTCTATGTAGGAGAGTGTCTTACCGAATAATTAGTTTTTGAGGGATATCTTGTCAAAATTTTTGGTACATCTTCAACTGCTGCATTATTATTTTTTAACTATCGATCTTTACAGTCTAAACAGGTTTAGTCCATACATTCGGCTGTTTAACCAGCTAATTAAGCAATATTCAATTGAATACAAGCTTTTTTACCCGCTATGAATGCTAGATGGACAAATTTGCAAGGATACATAGTTTGATTACTCGCTGCTAATTTTCACTAACACCCAGCAGGACAGAGAGGTATGTTTAATAGAGGTCAGCAGAAGAACTATGTTTTTCCGATTAATCAATCTGTAAGATCAGCAACATTTTATTGGCAAATTGCCTTTGCGTAATTAGTTCATTCCAACCTTTTTTTTTTGAAGTTTTTTTTTGTGCATAGCACTACCTCTGCTTTAAACGTCACCCTCTAGTGCGTGTGAAATTGCTTGTTACTTCACCTTCAAATAAGGCTTTCATCAAATGCTGCTTTTTGAGCTAAAAATTTTTCGGGTTGATCTATCTGCAGAAGCGAGGAAAGCAGAACGACACATTAATTGCCATATTCCGCAGCTCATCATAAATGAACACAGCGGAAGGTGATAATGAATGATTATATAAAAGGACAGTTTCATTTGACTCTAACAAAGTAATGCTATTAATCGTTTTAGTGCCCAACCATCACTGCGTAACGGAACGACACTTACCGCCATTGCTGTGCCAGGAAAGAACTCTTTTTTTTTCCACCTGTAACATTTCCTCATTAGTGAAGGTGAAAATCAGGAAGAAGAAAATAGGTGGAATCATTTGCTTACACTTCTGTTGCCAATTAAATAAATAAAGGGCATTTTGAGAAAAAAACCGCTCGAATCAGTCCTGACCCCTGCGTAATTTTCCAATTTCCAACGACATTGAAAGCGACTGGTTCGGAAATACACTGCGTGTTCTCTTAGTAGTGCTGCTGCTGAAACAGCAGAAAAAGCATTTTTCGCGACAGCATATTTCTGTCGATGTTGAACGGTATTCAAGCATTACAAGAGCGCATAAGCAAAGTTTTTATGAAACAATAAAACCTGTATCGAGCTGTCAACTAAGTTCGCCACAGCGAACACTTTTATAGAGGTAGTAACATTATTTCTTTGCTGAATTTCCAACAGGGCTGAGAAAACTGCGATTTTGATGTAACTGTTGCCTCTTTGCTATGTCATTACAATTTTTCAAAAATCGATCTTTAGTCTAATGGGAAATGATCGATTTTTCAGCTGTACGAGTTAAATGATTTAGGACAAGTAAAATAGCTACAGAGGAAGACGGATTCCACGGTAATTAGCATTACTGGCTAAGGACCTAAAAACGGCAGTAAAAAAAAACATGCGTTAATAATCTTGGGAATACCAACACATTAAAGGGCAGTAGCCAATATTGTTTTGGAAGTGGTCGAGACTGCATTGGAATTTTTGCCCAAAGCGTTCATTTAAAAATAACTTGGCGACAACAAATTTTGAAGTATCTTCTTTTAAGTGAGGAAGACCTTCGCGTGCTGAAGCTTTAGGGCTACAAAGAATCATTAGATTTGGTTATGTATGGTCTTCAACAGCAGTAGAACTTATAGCCCCATTAAATGTGGTTGTCGATAAAAGAAAAACAAAAAATACGTGGTTTTAGTGGCGGATATTTCCAATAAACTGTCTGCACTTGAAATTCTCGATTTTTTTAAAAGAACAGACAAGAAGTGTAGATTTTCAACTAAATATTAATTCAAAAAACGTAAGCGTAAATTTGCATTTGAAAAAAACCTGTTGGTAATATTAGAAAAATAATAAAAACTATGACTAAAATTAAAAAAAAGCATTTTTAACGTGGTTCAAAGATTTATCTCTTTTATCTTAGTAACTTTAGTAAATATTATTCTTTTGACAGTACCACAGTAAGTTTGATTATACTACCTTTAGATAATGAGTGAAATGGACTAATAAATTTTTTAAGTTTTTGAAGTAATTCCTATTTTCTTGTGTTTGCTTCCTTTTCAGAGCAAGATTTTTCAATTTTTGTTCTCTCTTTTAAAACAGAGGAATAAATAAGTTTTTTACACTTTTGCCTTTTAAATGTTCTTTTATAGCCAGTTTATTTTGCTCTTCAACTTTAAATTCACATTTCGTTACCGCAACTGCCAAAACTTTATCAATCCATGCGAGGCTCATACTACAGAGAATGCAGAATATGTTCTTTGTTCTTTGCCTAGCGCTCTCCTGAAAGTCTTTCCTGACTTTGTAGATCCAATATCCCCTCATTTAGCAAGAAGATGAAAGACGTAAACAATATTTGTCTTCTGTAAACATATTTGATTCTTAAAACATTGCCAAAACTTTAACCTCTGTTAGCCAATCGGACTGCTACAGTGTGCTTAAAAAAGTGGTCAAAACAATTTGCTGTGGTTAATGATAGCAAATATTTTAATGGACCATGCTTCCCAATAGAACTTTTTAAAAATTCTTTCAAGATAGGTTGTTACACAATAATTAATGGCAATTTAAGTTACAGAATGTTTTAGTTACTTTGTTAAACTGTTTCACTTGTAATTTCTGAACTGCTTTTGTTTCAACCGCCAATTTTTCCATTTATCCGTGCGGAGGTAACAAGTCACAATAAAAAAAACTTTTATTTTATTCTCAAAACTTCAAGGTAAACTATTACATACATTAAAATAATAAAACTAAGAAAAAAAAACAAGTGTTTCCTTATACACAATAAGAATTCAGCGTTTGATATTAAGTGAAAAAAAAAAAGGGTGAAAGACAAAGCAGCAAGAAGCAAGAGCGAAAAGTTCTCTTATTGGTGTCACAAACTGTTAGATGCATGTTATTTCAACTGACGCTTCGAGAAGATTCTACTACGCTTAATTCTTGTGAGCTTTACGATGTAGTCTCTTCGCTAAACGTTTCCGTGCGAGCCTGCGTTTAGCATAACCTCCGGGTGCACCTGGAGCACCCGATGGTCCTCCCACGAGGAATGGATCGCATCCTTCTGGGTTGTGTGGCACTGGGTCGTTGTTTGATCTTGGAGGGCACGGACAATAGCCAGCATCAAGACCATCCATACCAGCCGGGCCAGGCTAAAATGCCACCTCATCAAAATTACTCTGTATTTTTCCACGACAATAAAAACTCTAAGTAATGTCAAAGTACTTCTAATGTAAACTAACCGCTCCTGGCATTCCGTCCATACCCGGTCTACCTGGCATTCCTGGTCGTCCTGGTGGTCCTTCTGGACCTGGTGGTCCATTAGCTCCATCAGCCCCGTTTGGACCAGGATTGCCCATTGGTCCTGGTTGTCCGCGTGGTCCTTTCGGACCTTTTTGGCAAGTCATCTTTACTCCGTCAGTACCCGCCGGTCCTGGAGGTCCAGGTGGTCCAGGTGGCCCTTAAAAATAATATTTGTATTTATTAGTTTTAAACATGTTTAGCAGTCTTCAGTTAATGCATAAGCACGTGATATTTTCCCACCACTACCGTTTCTCGTCAACTTCTCTTACGAAAGCATGCCACAATGTGTCAGAAGAAGATGCATTAAAGAGCTGCTTGTACCTTGTGGTCCCGGTTCTCCCGGAGGCCCTTCAGGTCCTGGTGGTCCACTCATGCCTGGCAAACCAGGAAGACCAGGGTTGCCATCAGGGCCTGGTGGACCTTCAGGTCCATCTGGTCCTGGAATTCCAGGAGGTCCTGACGGGCATGGTATGCATCCTGTTGGCAGCCCAAGATCGAAATTGATCTGAACTCCATCGGGTCCATCGGGACCGTCTGGTCCAGGAAGTCCATCTTCTGCAAATGAAGGAAACTTCATTTTGCCCTCTGTTTAGCGCGTATATTTAAGAAACGTCAACATTACTCAGTGGTTTTCTTGAAAAAATTTTTGCCTACACGGTCTTCCTAAAAAAATACCTCCGGGTATGCCTGGATCTCCAGGAGGTCCCATTGGTCCTGGTGGACACCTGGATGGTAAGATGCAATCTAGAAAGTTTAAATATGTACATAAGTTACTTCCTTGAAAAACATCTCAAGGTGTGTCAAAAAAAACTATTCATAAAGAAAATGTAGTTGATAACGAACTGCATCTTTCCGGTAGTCCATACTGTCGTTTGTTCCTCAATAATATTTCTTTAAACGGATTTCCTCCGGCGTAAGGGCGGCCTTGTTGTACACTCATTATTTCGTCCCACGCATCATTTGCCAATGTCTGTGATAAGCAAAATCATACTATTCGTTCATAGCAATTAGTCTTAACAGTTTACAACTGCTAATTCTTCTGAACCCTACATGTGACTAATGACAGACTACTAGTGTAAAGTTGAGACCTTAAAAACGGTCATGTCATTCAAAACTTCATAATAAAGACTGTTGATGTCTTGGAAAAGAAGACCGCAGACGACCAAGGAAGCTAAGATAACGCCACCACTGGCAAGAGATGCTACGTTCATCCATATGCGGACTCCCATCCTGAAAAGGCAGGAGAAAAATTAGATGGCAAAAACAATAGGTTTTATTGCTCCAGTTGTGACAGTAAACAAGCAGATTTTGTTTTACTCAAACGTGTTAAAAATCTAATTTGTTCTGCGTAAAAGTGTTGTTGATATGTAAAACTCCTTTGGGCTTTCTATGAATTAAAAGCTACTTAACAAAATATGTTCTTAATTTTCCTGCTCTTTATATCAAAATGATCGTCTTTGACAAATACGAAAAAAAAATGCAAGAAAAGGTAATATCCCGTTGCCCAAGTAATTACTGTATAGTAGAAAAGTTCTTTTTAGTATTTGTTTTATCATTAATTTGTACTCTAAAATCATAGGCAGCGGAAAAGTAGTAAATACGAAACGAAAAAAACAAATAAAAAAAAGCCGACTAAGTAAAATGCCAGCTCACGGTAGTATAAATAGTTGAAGAAGGTATAAGCTGTTAGTAAGATAAGAAGGATTACTAAAGGAGAAATTTGAAGAGACTGTAGGAACCGATTTAGGTGCACACTGATACTGCGGACAGCTAATGCCTTATATATGGAACATCAACGATCCGTTGATAGCCAACGGCAAATCAGGTCTTTTACTGCAAAAAAAAAGTAGTTTCTTTTTTTTCTATTTGATTTCGGACAGCGACAATAAAAATACGCGGCTAAAACAGTGAAACTTTGAACTACATTAAAAAGAAAAGAAAAAAGCACAATTTTTTCTCTTCATCACCCAAAATTAGACAATTAGATGTTGTAGGAACAGTGAAGAAAAAAATTCGCATTTTTTTCCTGCATCTTTGAAGTTCTGTGTCTAAAAGAGAAAAACGAAAAAGGCAAATTTATTAGAAATTTTTCTTTGTTTCTTTTTCTTCTCTGGGCCATATGCTTCTTGGCAAGAGAAAAAGCGAAAGACAGAAGAAGAGAAAGAGAAAGGAGTTGACTGAGAAGGAAAAAAAAGTATGAGACTGCAATAGTCTGCTGAGGTTGATTTTTTTGTGTTGCTGTTCAATATGTTGCCAGTTGCTTTTTGTGGATATGATAGAAGCAATAAAAGAATTAAGCAGTGTTCTGTTAGGTTTTTAACCAGAAAACTTGTTCATCTTCAATTTCACTTATTAAATCAAACTTCAAGCGAAAAAGTTTGGCAAGAATGCATTTGACTTTATTGTTTTTCCTTCATTTTTTTTTGTAGGAGCTTAGTTGAGCGAACATAGCTTAGCATAATTTAATCAGTTTTTTGTCTTTTTGCAACATTTCAGCTGCCGTTTTTCCGCTGTTTTCTACAGGAGATGAATGGGGTAACGGTGCTGACAGGAAGACGGGTGAAAAATAAAGGAACGGATACATGTTGTTGGTATACCTGCGGAAAAGTATGTTCAATGGAGTGAAAAAAGTATCAAGAAACACTGTAAAAAGACGATAGAAACAACTTTAATTTTTGTTTTGAGTTTTTTTATCTGCGAAAAGCAAGTGGAAAATGAAGCAAAAGAAGAGGAAAAAAAGGATGAAAGAAATGTGATGGATGCAATGAAACAGTGATCAGTTTCTTCGTCGTTATAGTAGATTTCTTTTATGCCAGAAATAAAAAAAGAGCGTTGTAAGATTTTTTCCATTAATTTATTTTAACAATTTTGAGGGAGAAAAATAAAGTAGGATTCGAAAATACGTTTATTTAGTTGTCAAAAAATTTCATAATCGTTTTTTTTTTTTTTTTTCATCTTTGTTCAACTTTCATTTTGGAAGACATTTTTTTTGTATTGTCCTCATTCTTCCTGTAGCATCCATCGTCAATTCTTTGTTTATTCATTTTACTCCATTTTTTATCTTTATATCTAAACAAAATATTAAAATTTCAATAATTTATCAATATTGAAATTCCAGCAATTTCTGTGTAAGTGGCTAAATAGGTCGGATGTTGAAGATGAAAAAAAGGAAAAGAATAAAAAGACAAAAAATTCGTCAGTTTCGCAAAAAAAAAGGCTGATAACTGAAGCAAAAAATCAGTTGAAAGTATTGCGTAGCAGCATTTTCCTTATCTGAAGATAAATTCTTTTGTTTTTTTTTTTCTTTTTCACACAGTTCTTTCCTCCAACTTTGGTCGACTTCAAAACTCTTATCAAAATCAAACAATCTGCTTTGATGTTTGCAATATACCATTGAAAGAATCAGTGAAGAGGAATATCTCTTTTGTTGTAGGTTTATAAAAGTAAAAGATCTTTTTTTTTTAAGACTAAAAAAACGTAGAAAACAAAAACAAAAAATATAACATAAAAGATAAAAAATAAAGTTCCTTTTTTTTTTCTTTGTTTTTACCAGTTCAAATGACTTATCAATTTCGGTCATCACTGTCATCAGTTTCATCTGAAACTTCTTTTTTTCTTAATTTAGTTTCAGTTTCAATTGAACGCTAAAGAGATAAATGTTTGAGTGCAAAAAGTGCTGTTGATGATGGATACAACGAGTGTTCACAGTTTTACAGTTTTATAACAACAACACTGTCAATAAAATAAAAGTTTTGACTGATTGATAATCAAATGACCAAATGATAAATCTATTTTTCTTCTCGCTTTATCGTTCCTTTTCTTCTTGAGCTCTTTCCTAATTTTAGCTTCTTCAGATTTTTGCAGTTTCTTTTTGAAAAAGGAAGAAATTAGGTAGTAAATATAAGCTTAATATATTATGGAGTTCTCTTCGGCATTTCGTTCATCAAATTTATCAAGATCTGCTGTTCATATCATTACTATTGCTTATTGTAAATTCGGTTTTTTTTATTTTTTAATACATAACTAATGAGAAGCGGAACGAGGAGTGGAATATAGGAAGCAGAAATTTTGGGAAAAACTGTAGAGAATACAGCTGCTTCTTTTGTTGTTATCATCTTCTTATCTTGACTAAAACAACTTTTTTTTTTCTGTTCAAATAATTTATCCTTAAATGATACCAACACACTCACATATTTGTATACATCTGACGGTTATCTTTAAAGCAAATGCATGTTTTTTTTTATTTCAAAGAACAAAAAAAACAGCAATAATTTGTAGGTTTTTTTTTTATTGACTTCAACAACAGCAACGGCAACGACGACGAAAAAAAATGGCCTGCTTCAAAAAAAAAAAAAAAAAAAAAAAAAAAAAAAAA